AAGGAGGGAAAAATAAAGGTATTATTATTGTCATTTAGCTCCTTGAGGACAAAGACATTCCTTTCTGTCTCTGTATCCCCAGTACTCAGCACATAGTAGATATTTAATAAACGTTTGTTGAATACAATTGAATAAAGTCATTGGGGTTTTTGTTTTGCCTCTAGTAACTTTTCAGCTGATACCTGTGGATTTTCTCAGCAGACAAACATGCCATCTGAAAAGGTGCTGAGTTTATTCCCTTCCTCAATTTATGCCTTTTATTTATTTTTTCTTTCCTCAGCTGTAGCCAGTTTTTCCAATCATGTATTGAATCAGGACAGTGACAGAGGCATGCTCATTTTGTTACTGTTTTTAAAGGGAATGACTCCAGTATTTCACTATTAAATATAATATTGACTCCTTGCTTAAAATATATGTTCTTTATCATGTTATTAAAGAAACACTCTATACCTATTTTTCTTGTTAGAGTTTTAGTCAATATGAATTTCTTTACTTCAATTCTCCAAGGATCCATGTTTCCATCCATGTGGGTACTCACTCCCTCCTTTCACCAACAGAGATTATAGCCCCTCTGGGCCTTAGTAGACATGCCTAGAAACTTAGGATGTGAGGGCACAAGAGAGGTTTGGAATCTGTTACTTATTACCTATGTCACCTTGGACAAGTAAGTGACTTAACTTTTCTAAACCTCAGTTCCCTCAAGTCTAAAATGAAGGGCTTAGACTCAGTTTCCTCAGTGGTCTTCTCCATCTCTACATCTGATTCTATGATGCTCAAAGGCTAGACAGGTAGGTTGGAGCAAGATTGTAGATCTTACATGCCAAGATCAGGTGAAAATGTTGGCCCTGAGGAGGGATCGTTGGTCTTGGCATATGCTGTAAAGTAAGATCATGGAATGCTTCATAATTTAGTGGACACAAAGGTGTTAGAAGCTTGGAGATGAAGTGCTGGCAGATTGAGTTTGGGGACCCTAGTAGGTAAAATAGGTCCTAGGAGAATGTCATCTTCTTGAGAGTAGGGACTATTGTGATGTCATCTTTTTATCCTTAGAAATTAGCATAGTTGTTTGCTTAATTGAAAATTCAGGAGGGTGGAACCAACATGGCGGAGTGAAAGCAGTGACTTACTTGAGCTCTCCCCCAAACCCCTCCAAATACCTATAAAAAAATGGCTCTAAACAAATTCTAAAGCAGCAGAACCCACAAAAAGACAGAGTAAAACAAATTTCCAGTCTAAGACAGCCTGGATGGTTGATCAGAAAGATATATTGCAACATGCAGGTAGAGGAGCGCAGTTCAGTGTGGGCGCACAGGCCACAGCGAACCTAGAACAGGCCTCAGAGGACTGAATCACAGGCAGCTGTGGCAGCTTCCAGACTCCTCAATCCACGAACGCCAAAGACAACTTAAAAGGTCAGTGGGAAAAGTCTGTTTTTGTGCTAAGAGAAGAGCTAGGTCAGAGCCAGTTCCACAGCACAGAGTGCAGATTGCGGGTGCCGGGGTGATGGCTGTGTCCTGAGCTTCCAGCCCACAGACTGAGGGGGAATCGAGTGGCTGATCAGAGGGGGACTGCAGGGATCTCTTTGCTGATGCTGAGGCAGGAATCTCTTGCTTTGCCCGTGCTTGGATCTGGGTCACAGTTCTGGGTGGCGGTCCTGGGGTGAGGAGGAACGTTGGCACGGTGGAGCTTGTAGTGGTGGTGGAGAGAAAACCCTCCTCACAGTTCCAGGACAGAAAAGACTGCTTGTGGCCAGTCACTCAAAGACCAGAGCTCAGGCCGGAAAAGAGTGAACACTTCGACCCTTACCATACCACCTTGGAAGAACTGAAAATTTACAAATCCCTAGACGTATCTCTGAAAACAGCTATACAAACCCCCGAAGCTTGGGACAGTACATTCTCCACATTGGAAGCAGACTTTTACCTTAACAAAGAGTTTAAAACTCAAGTAGTTGGCTGGGATCATGAGCAAGCAACGCAAAAAGAGTCAGACTATATTATCTTACTTTGGTGACAAAGAAGATCAAAACATACAACCAGAAGAAGACAACAAAGTCAGAGCTCCTACATCCAAAGCCTCCAAGAAAAATATGAATCCATCCCAGGCCTTGGAAGAGCTCAAAAGGGATTTTGAGAAGCAAGTAAGAGACGTAGAGGAAAAACTGGGAAGAGAAATGAAAATGATGCAAGAAAATCATGAAAAAGAAGTCAACAGCTTGCTAAAGGAGACCCAAAAAAATACTGAAGAAAATAACACCTTAAAAAATAGCCTAACCCAAATGGCAAAAGAGGTCCAAAAAGCCAATGAGGAGAAGAATGCCCTAAAAAGAAAAATTGGCCAAATGGAAAAGGAAGTCCAAAAGCTTACTGAAGAAAATACTTCCTTAAAAATTAGAATAGAGCAATTGGAAGATAGTGACTTTATGAGAAATCATGAAACAGTAGAACAAATCCAAAAGAATGAAAAATTAGAAAACAATGTGAAATATCTCATTGGAAAAACAACTGACCTGGAAAATAGATCCAGGAGAGAGAATTTAAAAATTATTGGACTATCTGAAAGCCATGATCAAAAAAAGAGCCTAGACATCATCTTTCAAGAAATTATCAAGGAAAACTGCCCTGATATTTAGAACCAGAGGGCAAAATAGAAATTGAAAGAATCCACAGATCTCCTCCTGAAAGAGATCCCCAAAGGAAAACTCCTAGGAATATTGTAGCCAAATTCCAGAGTTCCCAGGTCAAGGAGAAAATATTGCAAGCTGCCAGAAAGAAACAATTCAAGTATGGTGGAAACACAATCAGGATAACACAAGATTTAGCAGCTTCTACATTAAGGGACCACAGGGCATGGAATATAATATTCCAGAGGGCAAAGGAGATAGGATTACAACCAAGAATCACCTACCCAGCAAAACTGAGTATAATCCTTCAGGGGAAAAAATGGTCATTCGATGAAATAGAGGACTTTCAAGCATTCTTGATGAAAAGACCAGAGCTGAATAGAAAATTTGACTTTCAAATACAAGACTCAAGTGGAACATGAAGAGGTAAACAGGAAAGAGAAATCATAAGAGACTTGTTAAGGCTGAACTGTTTATATTCCCACATGGAAAGATGATATTTATAACTCATGAGACCTTTGTCAGTATTAGGGTAGTGGGAGGGGAAAAATTGCATGTATGTAGATAGATAGATAGATAGATAGATAGATAGATAGATAGATAGATAGATAGATAGATAAATAGAGGGCACAGGGTGAGTAGAAGACAAAGGGGTGATATCTGGAAAATAAAATTGAGGGGTGAGAGAGGATTATACTAGGAGGAGAAAGGGAGAGGTAGAATGGGGTACGTTATCTTGCACAAAACAGACAAGGAAGGTCCTTTCAGTGGAGGGGAAACAGGGAAAGGTGAGAGGAAATGAGGGAATCTTATTCTCATAGGATTTGGCTTAAGGAGGGAATAACATACACACTCAATTGGGTATGGAAATCTGTCTTACCCTACAGGAAAATAGGGGAGGAAGGGGACAAGAGAGCAGGGGGATGATAGAGAGAAGGGCAGATTGGGAAAGGGGTAATCAGAAGGAAGTACTTCTGAGGAGGGACAAAGTCAAAAGAAAGAATAGAATGAATGGGAGGGCAGGATAGGATTAAGGGAAATAGAGTTAGTTTTTCACAACATGTCTACTATGGAAGTGTTTTGCATAACTGCACACGTATGGCCTGTATTGACTTGCTTGCCTTTTCCATGAGGGTGGGTGGGGTGGGAGGAAGGGAGAAAATTTGGAACCCAAAGTTTTAAAAACACATGTTTAAAAAAAATGTTTCCACATGCAACTGGGAAATAATAAATGCAGGAAATGAGGTACAGAAATCTATCCTGCCCTACAAGGAAATAGAAGGGGAAGGGGATAAGAGAAGTGGGGGGGTGGAGTAGAAGGGAGGGCAGACTAAGAGAAGGGGTATTCAGAATGCATGCCATCTTGGAGTGGGGGGAGGGGCAAGATGGGTTGAAAATATGGAATTCAAAATCTTGTGGAAGTAAGTGTTGGAAACTAAAAATAAATAAATTTATATTAAAAAAAATCTAGCCACTGCTCAGATTCTTATAATCTAGCCAATAGCTTGCCAATATTTAGACTCCTTAAGAGTCTGCCCAATATGATGGATGTTCTAATATGTATGTTCTAATAAACGTTGTCTTTGGCTTAAAAAAAAAAAGAAAAAAAGAAAATTCAGGGGACAGCTAGGTGGTGCAATGGATACAGTACCAGCCCTAGAGTCAGGAGGACCTGAGTTCAAGTGCAGCCTCAGACACATAGATACTCACTAGCTGTGTGACCATGGGCAAGTCACTTAACCCCGATTGCCTCAAAAAAAAGAAAATATGGAGTTTTCAATCACATCACCTTTTGCACACAGCTGCCCCCTAATCAGCAACCAGTGGTGTTCATTTCAATTACCAACCTTTATTGAGTCTCAGTGGGCTGCTAGGTGGTGCAGTGGAAAGAGCACAGAGCTTGGAACCAGAAAAACTCATCTTCATGAGTTCAAATCTGGCCCCAGACACATACTAGCTGTGTGACCCTGGGAAAGTCACTTAACCCTGCTTACCTCAGTTTCTTCATTTGTAAAATAAGCTGGAGAAGGAAATGGCAAACCACTCCAGTGTCTTTGCCAAGAAAACACCAAATGGGGCCACAGAGAATCAGACGTGACTGAAAAACTGCTTACTGAGTCTCAGTACCTCTGGCCAGGTAGATTCAGAACAGTGTGTCAATGTGTACTAGACGGTCTGATGTCATTAGAGAAGGTGAGCTGGAGAACACCTTGAATGTATTATATATATAAAAATCTCATGCTGGATCTGACTGTAATGTGCCATGTGACAAAAATTTGGGAGCTGTACCTTTATGTATGTCAGGAGAGTTTGTCTTTATGACATCATAGTATGTCCTGACCACTGTCTTGGACTAGCAGGTCTTAGACTAGCCTGAAGGTGAGCCACACAAGCAATGGAGGGCAGAAAGCTCAACTGAGATGTTTCAAGAGGAGAAGAGAGTCAGAGCATTAGCGTGTCCTACATCATCATGTCCTAACCAGAATTATTGACCTGGGTTTAGTCTTTTGTTGGGAAGGAGACTGCAGATGGAATGGCCAAGGAAATGCGAGGAGAATCACCGAGTGATTTACCAGGTGAGAGTGAGGCTGAAGAATAGCAAGGTGGAAATATCTATTTCTACAAGGTTTGCTGGGGGCCACCTATGCATAGCTGATGAACCTCAGCTGGTGCTAACGATGCTGAAGAGTGCTGCTTCATGGGAAGAAAGTGTGAACACACCCCAGGGTAAGTGCTGTGTGTTTTCAATTAAGCAGGAACTCTAATATCCTAAATTAAAAACATGTAAGTCACTATCTTGCATGGGAAAATCTCATTAATTTGGAATAACAATATATAAAGGGCTTTACAAACCTTAAAATGCTATATAAAAGCTAGCTGCCACATTGTTGTTGCCTTCACCATCATCAGTATCATCATTATCAGTAGTAATGGTGGTGGTGGTGGTGGTGGTGGTGGTGATAGAGCAGCAATATGTTTACCTTTGTTTAAAGGATTACCTTTAAAATTACCTTTGTTCAAAGCATCCTTCAGAAATAATGAACACAAATCATGTGAAAACAGATTGTAAGAGGAAAATGTAAGCTCTCTTCAAACGTTTTCAAGACTTTTCAAAGTTGCTGCTTACTAGGACGTCTTGAATTCTTTGCAGCTGGTAACATGAATGCAGAATGCAGGCCTGTGAATGGACATGACCGGCTTTACCCAGCGCCCTTTACCCATGAATGCCCTTCACTGAGAGGTGAAAGGAAGACGAAAGTCCCGAGTGTGTGGGAGGTTGAAAGAAGTCTCCTATGAGACCACCTCCTTTATTAGCTGCCATCTCTGCCAGAAACACTTGGCCTTGGTCTACATTAACCAGTGGGGCAGCTAGGTGGTGCAGTGGATAGAGTAGGAGTCAGGAAGACTCATCTTCCTGAACTCAAATCTGGCCTCAGACATTACTGTATGACCCTGAGCAAGGCATTTCACCCTGTTGGCCTCAGTTTCCTCATCTATAAAATGAGCTGGAGACAGAAATGGCAAACCATTTCAGTATCTTTTCAAAGAAACCCCAACTAGAATCACAAAGTTGGACATGACTGAAACAACTGAACAACGTAATTACAAGCATTCAAGACGCCGCTGCCCTGGAGATCTGCTTGTTACCCCTCCATGTATACTCCACCTGCCTGCCCCACGGGGCTGAAGTGTTCTTTTAAATTGAGGACTTCATGGGTGTCTGTGGTGAACAAAATACATGCGGAACTGGAGCGTGTAGGTCTGCAGTGGACACATCAGCTCTGCTGGTTTCTCTGCGTGAATTTCTGTGCTTCTCTCTGAACCACAGCACCAGGGCATTGGCTCAAGGGACATCAGTTTTCATCTTTCTGTCCCCGGGAGATCAGTATCCTCCAGGAAGATGACAGGGAAGGTGGGCAGAGGAGGAGTGGGGGGGGGATTCTTTTCTATCAGGAACAAGGGGGGAGTCAAAGAAATGGCCCCAGCTGCCAAGCACAATAGCTATTGATGAGAGTTGGTCCCATAACAGTCTACCTAGATTTATATCTGAATGGACAGCTTTAAAATCTATCTTCCCCAAGCCCCTACCCTACTTATTCTCTGCTACTAAAGGAAAATGCTAAAATAAAATAACAGTATCTTTTTACTGATGCCCATATATTAAGAATCTGGGATTCTGTCAGTAAGGGAACTGTTTCTACCTTCACATCCCAACTACAAGTTGAGTAGAAAAGTCTTGGAATATTTCCTGAGGCTTAGAGAAGTTAGTTGACTTGCCTGTAGTCTCAGAGCTACTAAGTGTCAGAAGGGAGAGTTGAATTCCAATTCCCTGAGTCTGAAGTCACCATTTATGCACTGTCATATTGCCTCTGAACCTTTTACTTGGAATTTGCTCAATAGGAATCATTCTAATTTCTTTATCAAAGCATGCCCCCTAAGGCTCTTGATTGGACCTTCAGCCTGGTTGGACTTGTTTTGTAAATTTGGGTATCATCAAAGCTGATTTTCTCATCAAATAGCTCAGGAGTCAGGTTTTTACTCATTTTTACCCCAGCCCTAGTCAGTCAAAAGTCAACTGCTTGGTTAACTTTGACACAACACTCAACTCTGCCTATTGACAGTAAACGCCAGGCAATCACCAGTCGTGAACTGTGCCCCAGCTAATTCAATTCGGATGGCAGACAGCTGCTCTGCATGGGCCATCCATAAATGAAAGGAGGCTCTAAGGTCGGGCTTGAATTCTGTGGAATTCAAAGGCACCTGGAGAATGCAGGCAAACACGCTTCTATTTACAAGGAAACTTTCACAAAGGCCAAAGACGCCCATGGATTGCAAGTGAGGCAGAAGAAGCTCATCATTTCTCTTTTCTATCACACGTGCTTGGAATGGAAGAAGCAGCACGTGAAACTGCAAAATCAAGAGCTGATGGAGCAGCAAAGGGGGGAGTGACAAATAAGCACATGGCGTTCTGTGAAGATAGCTTTGTAAAAGCCCTCCATCTAGATGACTTTCCCTCCTAGCACAGACTTGATATCTGAACGTACAGAGCAGGCAGCTCTCCAGAACAGCTCCATAAAGGCCATGGTTCCAGGACCCAAGGCTGCAGAGACAACAGTGCTGATATCACTTTATATCACAGTTTATTTCTTCACCAGGGCAGGAGCAAATATCTAAAGACTCATCCCATCTCCACCAATGGGAATTTTGTTCAACCTACAAGACATGGCTAAAATGCCACCTTCTCCTTAAAGTCTCCCCTCATTTTCCCTTGCATAGACCTCTCTCATATCCCATTCTGTTCATAGTCATCATATAGTTATGGAACATTCGAATATTTCTGGTTCTTTCCACAGATCATCCATTGTCTTAATATTTACATCTTCCCCAAAACCTATAGTGATATTTTGTAGATAGGCACTTAGCAAATGGGGGGAAAGAAAAGGAAGGAAGGAAGAAAAGAAGGAAGGAAGGAAGGAAGGAAGGAAGGAAGGAAGGAAGGAAGGAAGGAAGGAAGGAAGGAAGGAAGGAAGGAAGGAAGGAGGGAGGAAGGAGGGAGGGAGGGAGGAGGGAGGGAAGGAGGGAAGGAGGGAAGGAGGGAAGGAGGGAAGGAGGGAAGGAGGGAAGGAGGGAAGGAGGGAGGGAAGGAGGGAAGGAGGGAAGGAGGGAAGGGAGGAAGGGAGGAAGGGAGGAAGGGAGGAAGGGAGGGAGGGAGGGAGGGAGGGAGGGAGGGAGGAAGGAAGGAAGGAAGGGAGGGAGGAAGGAAGGAAGGAAGGAAGGAAGGAAGGAAGGAAGGAAGGAAGGAAGGAAGGAAGGAAGGGAGGGAGGGAGGGGAGGGAGGAAGAGCATCAACATTGAAGTGAACCCTGTGGCAGGGCCAACTTGACTAATGACTGAAGCATGAACACCTCAACGTTTCACCTCTAGAACCAGTGAGGCCCCAGGACTTCCCTGCCTTGACCATTAGGTGCGACTCATCAGCTACCCTATTTCTATGCACATACTGTCCTCTAAACACACGCGCACACACACACCCCCCACACATACTTTCCACCTCTTAGTAGAGATTACTAACAGTGCCCTTGCTCCTGTGAAGGGTATGAGAAGCTACTGCCCTGTGGCTCTCTGAAATTCCTTTGATTTGGCTTTTCAGGCTGCCTAGACTGAAGCACTCTTCCTGTGAATGGACACAAGTCCATTCTCCCTCACACCCATCCAGGTAAGCACCATCCCTGCTATGTCCCTATCGCATTCTAACCTAGTCTTCCATTGTGCCCTCTGGAACTTCTATTCTATTGTAACCAAACTGCCCTCAAACATTCCTTCCATCTCCTTGAAATCATGGAAATCAGTGTCCCCTTAGAAGACAGTGAATACCTGTCCACTCTCCAGAACTAGATGTACCTTCACTCTTGCCAAATGTATACCACAAATCCACTTCCTCTAACACATTGAGCCAGAAGGAGGAGGAAAAACTCTTTGTACTCCTCACTGAAGACCCTGCCCTACCACCATCTGAGGGAATTGTGGGAACTGAATGAACCCCACTGACTCCATCATGTGACTCAATTCTAGATCTGGCTCAGTCCCTTTCTGTTCAATTATGGGTGTAGTCCAATTTCTTTCTTGTGAGAAAACTTTATTCAACTGTAGGAATTATGAGACAACTTTATTGCATTGTTTAAATTTGGGTTAGGAAGCTAGACCCCTTCTATCTGTTGCTTAGAGACCCTTAACTAAGGACCTAGGTTATGCTGACCAGAAACCCACCCAGATCAGAAGATTGAAGCAAGTAGTTTTCTCACAATTATACGTCTCAAACAACCCATGGGTCTTCCTGGAAAACTGGATCCATATTGATGATCAGTTATTCATCTATGTTCTATCAGTTGTTGATTCCATGTTCCTTTGAACCCAGAAACTTGGGGAAAGTAGGACACCTTTTTTCTGATTTCAGGGAACTATACCTGTTCATTCTCCCCCTCCTAATTTAGGAAGTCCCTAATTTGTTTTTCCAATTAGAAATCAGATTACCTAACCCTGTCTTATATCCTATTGTTTTCTTTTAAAGCATAAAAAGCTGTCTTCCCCTACATTTGGGGTCCAGTGCCAAAGCTGAGGTCCTGGTCCCAATTTGTTATGCAGTTGGCATGCATTGCTTAATAAATCAACGTGCTCGGAAGCTTGAACCTTTGTTTGCTCAGTTATTTCCAATTTCACACATCACTGTCACACATCACTCAGTGCTTCCTCTGCCTTTAAGATCCCATCTAGATCCTGGTGGCTGTTCTCCACCAGCCCTAGATTTTTCTCGCACATTTCTCAGTTCAGTAGCTGCCTCTCAGTCTTTCCCCCTACCCAAACTTGGTCTAGTTTCCCTGATTATACAGGTAGTAAGAGGTAGAGACAAGATTTGAATCCAGACCACCTGACTCCAATTTTAACTTTCTATCCAATACACCATGCTATTGTGAGCAAAGCATATCCTGAGGATGGAAGCTTTACATGAATGTGAGTTATTACTGTTTTTAGTTTTCCACCTGCACCAAAGGCCATTCCTAAATGTCTTAGACAAGGTTGGCAAAATAAGAGACCAGAGTCTTGCTTGAAGATGTTTGCTTACTTGCTGCTTTTCCTCCCTGACATTCCATCTCTCCCATCTTTTATGGCTGTCCACCATGCATGAAAAGTCCTTCCCCTCTTAGCAGCACTGGCTTCCTTCGAGACTCAACTCAAATCCCACCTTCTGAAGGAAGACTTTCCTGGTTCCTCCAAAGCTAGTGCCTCCCCCTCTGAGTGTACTTTTGTCAACCTAGGAAAACAGCTCAGACCAACTAGGTGATCAGTAGATAAAATGAAGCATTTATTCGGGGTCAAGGAATTGCAATTTGGGACTACATGTTGCAGCCTTATTTGATGAGGACGCCCAGGGAAGGAGGGGAGAAGGGGACTCCTAGAGGCCATAGTCCTAGGAAACAGCAAAAGTGTAGATAGTCTAGATTCACTGAACAGCCAAGCTACAGGGAGGAAGTGTTGAAGGTGTTGAGGGCTCACAAAAAGGTCACAGAACCATCCTTGGAAGCATCTCAGTCCAGGAGCAGGGGCAGTTAGAAAGTGCTGGTCAGAGCAAGGTGGGGGCCCAGATCTTCCTGAGGGTTGACACTTTCCATCTACTCTGTATAGATCTTATTAATCATTTACCTGGTATCTCCTTCATTGGAGTGTTAGTTCCTTGAGGGCAGGGACTATGTTTGCCTTTTATAAAGCACTTAGCACAATGTCTGGCACAAAGCAAGTACTTAATAAATGCTTCTTTCCTTTCTCCCTCCCTCCTTTTCTTCTTTTCTCTCTTCCTCCCTCCTTCCTTCCTTCTTTTCTCCCTTTCTTCCTCCCTCCCTCCCTTCCTTTTTTCCCTTTCTTCCTTCTTTCTTTCCTTCCTTCATTCCTTTCTCCCTCCCTTCCTTCCTTTCTTCCTTCCTCCCTTCCTTCCTTCCTTCTTTTCTTCCTTCCTTCCTTCCCCCCTTCTTCCCTCCTTCCCTTCCTTCCTTCTTTCTTCCTTTCCTTCCTTCCCTCCTTCCTTCCTATCCCCAGAACTTAGTAGTAGGCACAAAATAAACACTTAATACATGCTTGTTGATTGAGGGGTGGGGAGGGACATATGGCAGGAGGAATGAGAGCTGGGCCTTGAGCTCTCCACTTTGTCCAGGTCTTCCATGAACTTCACCATATAAGTATTAAACAATTCCTTTCCATGGCTTGTGTCTGCCATGCCCAAAGCAAGAGCCTTCAGGAGTAACGTTGAATGCCCTCACACAGGTGCCAACCTGGAAGGCCCAGGCAGGTGAAGGCATGAAATCAAGAGACTTGTTGGGACTGGCTCGGGTAACGGGTAACGGGCAACATTCTTCCATGGGTTCAGTAACAAAATACCTCATTGTTCTGAGGAAACTCTATAATTCTTATAGTGGCAACTGTGTTCAAACTGATGCAATTCCCTGGCATTTCTAAAGTCTGTTTGTCTAGAGGCGCTTCTAAAACTGTTCAAACGTTGCTCCAAAACCTCGACACTGTGTTGAGGAGGAGGAAAGGCGGTTAGGAAGCTTGGGTGGGTCTGAGGCTTTGGCCTTGGGTTAATAAGTTCCTTTGAGGCCATGGGCCTCCCGCTTTGTAACTGGTTACAGAATCTGGGGCAGGCCGACAGACTCCCCATGGTTACACAGAATGTAAGTCTATCTCTGTGGAGGCCTATTTATTTACCACTTGCTACGTGTGGGGAACAGGGAAAGATACAATAACCAAATGTTGGGCACGGAGCCTCTTTTCAAGCCCTCAGACTATTGTTATAAATGCTGGTTGAATGAATGGGCAAATTCCCAGGCTGCTCTTAGGAAGAAACTCATTTCTGTTGTAGGTGCATTGGTGCCACCTAGTGGATATAGAATGAGCAACAAGTATGGATGCTCAGTTATTTATCAGTTCCAGTGGCTTCCTGGTCTAGGATTTTATTAAAATCATAGGATCATAGACTGTGAGTTGGAAGAGACTTTGAAGGTCTTCTAATCATAGGATCCTAGCCCTAGAACTGGAAGAAAACTCAGAGGTCATTTAGGGCAAGTTCCTCATTTTATAGATGAGGAAACTGAGGCCCAGAGAGATTAATTGTGGGACCCAGGGTCCTACAGGCTACTTGTAAGTGGCTGGAATTTGAATCCAGGTCCTCTGATTCCAAAATTGGCATTGTTTCCATTAGAGTTCTGGCTCTTCAAATCCGATTCTAATGTGTATGGCCTATATAACCATAGCCTTAGTACACCCGGACCTTATAGCATCCATGTATGTAGAATGGAAGAGTTGGGATTATGTGGCCTTTGAAGTCCCTTACAGAGCCAGATCTATGATCCTACAAAGATACAGAGACAGAAGGGACCTTAGATGCCATCAGTTCTATCCACCCACCCCTAATTTTACAAATGCAGAAGCTGAGTCCTAGATAGCTTATGTGACTTTCCCAAGATCATGTGGGTCATAAAGTGTCAGAGGACAGATTTGAACTCTACCACAAATCTAATGTTCTTTGCACTTTAGCACACGTCTTATAGTTAGTTAACGGGATCTTCAGATGGAAGGAGCCTTGGAGATCATCCATTCCAACTCTTTCATTTCATAGGTGAAGAAATTGGGACACAGAAGGGAAGTGACTTGATGAAAATCATAGGAAGGAGCAAAAGCATCCTTTGACCGGTTCAGAGATAACTGGTGCTCATGGAAAGAGCTGAAAGGGACCCAAAACAAAGGTATGCTGGGTAAGGTCCGTGACTAGGTCTTTCTGGATGGAGAAGAGGATTCAAGTCTGAGAGAGAGGGTAATGGGGCTGACGAGGGAAGTTTGGTGCCTGCTTATAGAGGAGAATCTAATGAAAGCAAGCCAAGGTCTGTGATCTCATCAAGCGCTAATTTTTTCAAGACTAATCAATAATTATTAATCTACTCAAGCGTATGACAACTCTTTGGGGGAAGAGGTGGGATTTACTCATATTTCTCTCCATCTTCATTCTAAAATTGGGGGAAGGAGGTAAAACTAATATCAACCCCTTATATTTGCAACAGAGGCAGCAGCATATCATGAATAGAGATCCAGCCTGGGTGTTAGGAAGATCTGCATCCATATTCTAACTGCCATTTAACTTAAGGCAGACATAACAGAAATGGCTGACCAACAATGACCAGGGGCCTGGAGGCAGGAAGGTCTGGACTAAAATCTGGCCTCAGACACTTACTAGCTGTGTGATCCTGGGCTAGTTACTTAACCTGTTTGCGTCAGTAAATGAGCTGGAGCAGGAAATGGCAAACCTCTCTGGCATCTTTGCCAAGAAAACCCCAAATGGGATCATGAAGAGTTGGGCATGACTGAATAACAACAATGATCATGAGCAAATAATTTCATCTCCTTGTTCTTCAGTTTCCTCATCACTAAAATTATATTAGAAATACCCATTCAGTCGTTCAGGGTACCCCCAGAACCCTGGCAGAGAGATATGTGGACCATAGCTTGGAGGTTAGGAGGGGCAGAATCACAGGAAGGTGGTGCTATTGCTACTGATAGATATGTGTGAGCAAAGGGCCAGTAGATAAGGGAGATTAAAGATGACAGAAAGGAGAAGATGTATAGGAGCAAGGTCCTTAAAGAAGACCAGAAAACATGATGATAATAAATAATATCTAATGTTTATTAGCACTTTAAAGTGTGCAAAGCGTTTTATTATGTCATTTGTTTCTTACAACAATGTTATTATTATTGCTATTTTACAGATGAAGAAACTGAGGCTAAGTGACTTGCCCGGGATCATATAGTTAGTAAGTGTCTGAGGCAGGATTCAAACTCAGGTCTAACCTTAACCAAAATCCATTGTTCTCTGTAACTATACCACCCAGAATGAGATCAAGGCACACAGGTGAAATAGGGATTAGACTGGCAAAGTGGAGGGGCCACCACAGTGCCTTAGATGAGAGGGGAAGAGAGGTTTGGAGATATGAGGATGGCCTTAATTTCTCCAGAAAGAAGGCGCCACCATGTTTTGCTGGGGGAATGGCGCAGTACAAGGAGACTTTGGGGTCTGGAGAAGATCTGGAACACCTGCTATGGTGTATGTGAAAGGAAATCAACAAGAGATGAACCCAAATATATGATGATGTTATCATTGTGATTATAGAGCATGAAGAACGGAGCTATGATGTCCTCGGCATGAGGAGGAAACTCTGGCTCCCAATGCAGGTTACCCAAGCACCTTCTTTACCAACGAGAGTCTAGGTGGTTGCCCAGGATAGTCAGTCCACAATCATTTACTGACCACTTACTTCCTATGGGCCAGGAACTGGACTAAGTGTTGGGCTACAAAGAAACTCAAAGGCTAAGTCTTGCCATCAAGGAGCTCCCACCCTAATGAGCGGAGCATGAAAATAACTATGATTGCTAAGAAGAAGAAGAATTACAATTTACAATTAAAATAATACAAGAAGAATCACAATAGCTAGCATTTCTATAGTGTTTTGAGGTTTCCAACTTGCTTGGCCAGTATTATCTCATTTGATCTTCCCAACAACCCTGGATGATAGGTGCTATCACTGTCCCTGCTTTACAGGTAAGGAAGCTGATCGGAAGTTCCTTGAGGAGAGGGACTACCATTTGCCTCTTTTTCTATCTCCAGCTCTTAGCACAGTGGGTTCATGGTGGGTACTTCATCAATGTTTAGTAATTGATTATTGATTGATTGAGGCAGAGGTTAAATAACTCACCCAGTGTCACCCAGCTAGGAGTTATCTGATTTGAATTCAGGACTTACTGATTCCAGGTCCAGTGTTCTATCCATTTGGCCACCTAGCTGCCCCTACAGCTTACAACTATGCCTTGTACAACTGTGTATTTGCAAGATATAGACATAAATGGGAGGTAATCTTGGAGGAACGGTCCTGGGGGAAGTGGAGGGAGGGGTACAAGCCTGGGAAAGGCCTCTTTCAGATGGTAAGATTTGAACTGAGTCTTGAAGGAAGCCAGGAGAGCCAGGAGGCAGAGGTGAGGAAGGCACACATGCCAAGAATGACAGACAACCAGTGAAAAGTTACTGAGCATCACAAGATCCCAGAGAAAAAGCAAGGAGGCCAATGTAGCTGGATCATAAAGTCCACAGAGCGGGGTAAGTGTACAAAGGCAGGAGAGGTTGAAAGGGACAGGTTGTGGAGGGAGTTATACGCCAGAACCTTGAAACTGGATCCTAGAGATAATAGGGAGCTATTGGAAGTTACTGAGTTCCAGTTAGCCAGAAGTGGAATGGGCTGCTGTGCAAGATGGTGGCCCTCCTTTCCTTTCAGATCTTTAAGTAGAGGCTGGACACACCTGTCAGGTGTGTTAGGATGGAGATTCCTTGGGGCCACATCTTCCACTCTTTGACCGAGGGCCCTGCCAACTCTCAAATTCTGGGGAATATTTGAAAACACCCATGATGTTGCCTACTTTCTTCTCTCCTTCGAGCTAAACATCCTTAATTCCTTCAGCCAATCCTTCTATGGCATGGTCTCCAGGCTCCTCCCAACCTGGTCATCTTATTAAAATATGGCATCCAGTCAATAATGAGCTTTAATAACTTAAAATTATACTTTTGAAACACCATATATGGATATGCAGATAGATACAGACATAGATATATGTATTTGTTTTTCAGTCATTTTTCAGTTGTGGAAGACTCTTCATGACCTCATTTGGGGCTTTCTTGGCAGAGATACTGAAGTGGTTTGCCATTTCCTTCTGCAGTTCATCTTATAGATGACGAAACTGAGGCAAACAGGATGAAGGGACTTGCCCAGGGTCACATAACTAGTAAATGTCTGAGGCTGGATTTGAACTCAAGAAGGTGAGTCTCTATTCACTGTGCCACCTAGCTGCCCCATGTATTTGTATATGTATATGTACATGAAAATATATGTGTATATTGCATTTATAGATATACATATCATTTAGATCTGTGTACCTAATATATGCATATATCACATGTTATATGTTACATGTGTGTTCATTTTATATACTCTTGAGGGGTACATGTGAATGTATATCTATACACGTATATTATCTACATATCTGTAAAGGTATGTAGATATACACATATGAACATACATGCATGCAAACACATGAATACCCCCCAAGTCATTTAACTTTCTTGGGCCTCAGTTTCCTGTTTTAAAACAAAAGGACTGGACTGGAATGACCTCTGAACTCTCACCTAGGTCTAGATCTATGGTCTCATAATTAATAGTGGCTAAGCCAGGACTAGATGAGGAGGAGGGAGAGTCCAGAGGGGTCCTTGTCCCATCATTCTTGACCAGTCTAGGGCTCTATTCCAAACCCATGACTACCACCGCATTTCAGAAGGTGTATGGGACAAGCTCACTGCCAGTGGCTGTGTTAATAGGTAACTCTTCCCTGGCCTGCTCTGTCCTCTAGTTTACTTAAGAGGCATTCCTGTTTGCCTAGAAGTGGCCTCAACCTGAGTCATCCCCATCACAAGGGAGGAAACCTAAAGCTAGTGTAGACCCCCCGGGATGAGGACGTTTTAGAGGGATTGCCTCTGATCAGCTGCTAGCTTGGAGGGCTGGGACCATTCCATTTTGATCATTGTATTCCTGCCTACCTAGAAACAGGAACTGGATCAGTGATGCTGTTGCTGTAGGGAACTCCCAGGAGAAGAAACTTATTCTGCTGATGCAAGTCAGCCCCTCTGTAACTTCTAGGCTTAGACCTTAAGCAATGAGGGCTTAAGTAACCAGCCCAGGATGTGTCAGACCTGAAGCCAGGACAAACCAGCTCTCTTACACCCACATTGCCTCTCCAGCACTCAGTAGGCGCTTCAACCCTTGTTGACTGATTAGAGGCATGCCGAGGGCACCCCCACATGCACCTCCTCAGAACATCTCGACACAGACACACACCCCTGAAACAACAACATTGTCTTTATTAGGCGTTTCCATGGTAATATTACACAGAGTTCTTAAGGAATAATAAACACGACTTTTTTTACCATAATTATTTGCCATTAAGACAGTGGTAAAAAATAAAAAGAGAGGGGGAAAAAGCACTGTCTGTCTACACACATGATCAGCTTTAGCACATACAGCTCCTTCACTCATGGTTCACAATCACAAATCCAAGGGTTAAAATCCAGCTAGTCTGCAATCCTACAATGTCTTAGAGCATCAAGTCACTGAGTTAGTCCGTTCCAAATCACTGTCAATGTCTCTTAGCGTTTACACAGGACATTCATTAAACAGACACAAAAGCGAGCCAACAGGGGAACATGCTCACATAGCCTGCAAACATTGTCAGGGTTTTTGTTTTGTACTTTGTTTATCTGTTTGTGGGCTTTTCTTTTTTGTCTTTTAGAACAACCAAAAGAACTGAAAGTCATGAGTAGGAGGGAAAGAGGGAAGATTTAAGTGAATGCTGAGAGAGGCTGCCAACGTGGCTGAGAACAGAAACAAGACTTTGGGGTTTTTCCACCTTCTTCCAATTTCCTTCAAGGGGGTCAGGGAGGGGAACTACAAAAGTTTTAAGTTAACCAATTGCTTTTTTAAAGTGCTTTTTTACTTTAAAAAATAGAAAATAATAAACAATAAAAACAACCCCAAGTCGATATGTCTGGACAGATGAGTGGACTGGCTACAAAGGATTTACTGCTTATACTTTCTCAAAGCAGATTTGTTTTTATTGGGTTTTTTTTAAAGAACCTACAGATACATCTTTAAGAGAACCTGTCAACACACACAGAAATAAAGGCCACACATATCGAGGTAACAAAAGAAACTGAGGGGAGGGAAGGGGATTCAGCTAATGGAAACTATTCCAAGACACCAAGACGCTAGGCAGTGCTAAGGTGAGGTGACCAATAGGCTCAAGCTTGGCCTATAGAAAGAAGTTTGCCAGACGTTGCTTTCCACCAAAGTTGTGTTACGTTTGCAAATGTCAATGCACAATGAAGCGCCCTTTGTTTAAAAAAAAAAAAAAGGCATGGCTCCTCCATTTTGCCAATTAAGAGACTTCCCTGTGTCAAAATTCCCCAGGACTGGTGTGTGTGTGTGTGTGTGTGTGTGTGTGTGTGTGTGTGTGTGTGTGTGTTTCTAAGGCCTCTATGCATTATTATTCCACCAAGTTGACTTCCATGAGGTAAAATTGTTTAACTGGGCACCACGATGTTCTACTGGGGCCCATTCCTAATGAGTGAAACTTCAGTAGGTCCTGAACTCCTCAAAAGATGCCTCCAGATCAAATTAAATGGGGTTTGTAGAATGCTATCAAACCAGCCTCCAATTCAAACCAGCCTCCAATTCATCCATCTGTTCTATTCTGGCTGGCCTTGGGATGAGTTAGCCCAGTTAACTAGCATATGATGTTAATGAGACCTTGGACAGCAGTTTGATGCCTTTGGTAGGCAGTTAGCTTTGCTCAGGGGAAAAACCCACTTTCTAAAGCCACAGACTGTTATCTCCCCCTCAAACTCTCACCAAGGGGGCACCAGAGAGTATGGATAGCTCAGTCCAACCCATCCCTGCTACTGAAAAAGAATGAATGAAATAGCAATGGCCACCATGGGTGGCTTGGTGGCATCTTGCATAACATGGGCCAACTCAGCATTCTGCGTGATGGGGCAGCACCTTATTTCCCCAGGCCAGGTTCCTATGGCAACAATGGAAAAGTGGCAGGGCTAGTGAAAAGGAGAGGCAGCTGGGACAGGGAGAAAAATGTTGTCTAAAACAAATACCCATAGTCTCATCTCCTGAGGGCTGGAAAGGGCCTTAGAGGCTGTCTAATCCAACACCTTCATCCTACATGAAGAAACTGAGGGGCAAATAAGTTAAGTGACTTGCCCAAAGTCAAATAGATAATAATGGCCAGAGGTGGGACCTGAATCCAGGTCCTCTGCCATGAGATCCAGTGCTATTCCCACTGTGCCATGCTATCTCTCAGAAGCCAATGAGAGGCAACTTAAAATGTTCTGTAAAACAAAACAAAACAAAAAGCCAGAGAGGAGAGAGGGGAACCTCAAAGGATACATGTTGTAGCCAAATCCAGGACAAAGAGAAATGATGACCCATACTGAAATGTATGGAAGCCAATAGACATGGTCTGGAGCCACCTCGGTGGGGGACTGCTGCTCTACCAATCCGATTCACTCAGTTGTTAAACACTTGTCTCAACTCGTTAATATTTAATCAGTTCTTCCAACATCATATTTTTAAACCACTTTCCCCAACCCCACCCCTCCTCAGGGAGGAAAAAAAAAAGGCAGCTCTCAGGGAATTCACTTCATCCTTCCCTTAGGAAAAGAAAGATGTTCATGAGAACAACAGGGACGCTGGATGAAAACCACCCTAGTTGTGGCAGGGATTTTTTCATACTTTTTGTTTCACACCCTCGAGGTGTCAGGTCACATTCTGTCTCTGGAGTCGGTGTGTGAACATGTATGTAATACTATTAGAAGTGGAGAAACACAGGTGAGCAAAATCGGTAACATCAGGGTAAGGAGGACCGAGTGGGGGGCCCAGAAGGAAGCCCCATGGACTGGCTGCCCCACAGTAACTATCACAGGCTCTAAAAAATAATAATAATAATAATAATAAACAAAACCCATTGTCCTCAGGTGCCCCACCCCTCACCCCCCTTTCCCAGTCTGCTACTGCTGCTCAATGACTGAGGCGCTCTAACCCAAGCTGGTGATGTTGGCACGGCCGCCTGGGGGAGCCACAATGCGCTGGGTAGTACGGCGAGGGATGTTGTCATCAATCTGGGCACCTGGAGAGAGGAGAAAAGACAGGAGGGAGAGAAGGTTTAAAAAAGTCCCTGGCAGCCTCCTACCTCTGCTCCCTACCGCCTGGGGGACCTAGGACCAACCACTTCCCAGATCAAGCCCCAGTCGTTCTGTCTGTAAAATGAAAAGATTATACTGTACGAGCCCTAAGGTTCTTTCCAGTTCTAATCTTTAAGACTGATTTAAGCAATCAATCGAGTACTAAGTGCATACTATGTGCCAGGAATATTGTTGGGCACTGGGAATGCAGGTATAGAGGCTGAAACAACTCCTCCTCTCAAGAAGCCCTCATTCTAAAGGCGGGGAGGGGAGACAACATAGACATGTAAACTATCTGCAGCACAAATATAAAATGAGTAAATACAAATACATACAAAGTAGCTAGATACAAGGCAGTTAATGGCAGGAGGCAAAAGCTACAGTAAAGGCTCCGGAAAGGCTTCATGTAGGTGTTGCCTAAGTGTCGTCTTGAAGGAAATCCAAGATTCTGAGAGAGGAGAGGGGAGGCAGAAGCACACCCTGACCACGTACCCATGTACACTTACTCTTTAGTGACTCGTCACTCATCAGTACTGACTTACTCTGGCTTGTCTTGGGTCCCACAGGGACAGCCCAGCCCTACCCAAAGAAAAGTGGCAGGAGCAGTCGACTAGGATTCAATAACTGAGGTTCTTAGAGCCTCAATCACTTCATCTATAAAATGGGAGTAATAATAATCCTCGAGAGGCAATACCTGCCTGTCAAGGTTGCTGTGATAAAAGCAATTCATTAGTTTTAACAGGCTATAGGAATGAGAGCTGTACTCACTATCACTGGAAAGAAGTCACAGAACATATTTGTAACAAGTTTTGGTTTTCAGGCTTTCTCAATGAGTGGCAATGAGAGGGAGAGAGAGAATTAAGAACTGAAAACAAAATTCAATTTTAAACAATCAGAGAAAAAAAGTAACTAAAAAGGAAGAAAAAAATACATCCTCAGGTTTCCTCTCCTCCCCCTTTCCACATGTAAATTTGTGCCTTCCCCACAGTCCCACAGCTTCAATCAATAATCAATCAATGAGCATTTCTTAAGCACCTCAGACTGTGCTAGAGGCTGGTATTCCAAGGTGCCAGCAGACCCGGACTTGCTATTCGAGAATTCTGCTTAACATTTTAAATAACGATCTGCAGCATTTGTTTGCTATTTGAGACAATTTTGTTTAATGTTTTAAATAATAACCTATTTCATTTGAGACATTTTTTGTTTAATGTTTTCAATAATGAGCTATAGCATTTGAGACAATTTTGCTTAATGTTTTTAAAAAAATAATAGCATTAATATGGCACTTGAAAGTTTGTGAAGTATCTGACACATGTCTCATTTTACCCTCACAAGGTACCATGTTGGGGGATGGGGGAGAGGTGGAGGGAGTGATGTGTCAAAAGAAAATGTACAAGCCTTTAAGGATGAGACAAAGCCCCAAGAAAGGCAACATGGCCCCGTGGAAGAAGTTCCAGCCCTGGAGGGTTCAAATCCTAGCTCACCCACTTACTATGACCTGACATTGGGCAAGTCACCTCATCTCACCCAATCTTTATCTTCATGTGTAAAATGAAAAGGCTCTTAGTTAAAAAGCATGTTATAAGATGCCTGCTGTGTGCCAGGCACTGGGCTGGATGAGAAGAGCTCCAAGGTCCCTTGAAGTTCTAGAATCTAGGATCCTTTAGTAGTGGGTCAGTTCACTTTCTGGGCTTCTGTTCCCTCTGAAATGAGGTGGGTTGGGTGGACTCATAAGATGGCCTCAGAGGCGGCTTTCAGGTTTAAATCTCGTGCCTGCCTCTCAAGTTCACACCTACTGCCTCTGCAGAGCCCCAGCCGCCTGACCCAGAGTCCAAGGCTTTCCAAAGCAGGTGGTTGGGGGCTCAACTCCTGTGGCCCCTGTTTTCTTGGGCAGTTATGGACTCTGGCTTTATTTCTATTTACTGTAATAGTCAAGAGGGGGTGTGGTTTCATAGCTAGGAAGTTGGACTTTGAGTATGGAAGACATGGGTTCAAACTCCACCTCTAACGCTAAGTGATTTGGAACAAAAGACAAGCTCTCTGAGCCTCAGTTTCCCCATCTGTAAAACAGGGACAACAATATCTGTAGCATCTACCTCTCACTGTTGCTGTACTCTAATTAGGCCACGTACACAACGTGCTTAATGTCAATTATTACAATTAGCATTAAAAAAGCACCTTACATGGCCAACAGAATATATAATAACCTGATTAGAACTCCATTCATTTGGAACTGAAGGAAGAAAGGAGGCAAAGAAGGTAGGAGGGAGCATTTGTTAAGTGCCCACCATGTGCCAGACACTGCGCTAAGCGCCTTACAAATATTATCTCATTTTGAGACCATATAGTTTCTTTTATACATTTTATTTATCATTTATACATTTGAAGCATAATTCTAAGGACCCCATAGGATTTATCAGACTGCCCAAGGGGTTCATGAAAAAAAAAAAGACTAAAAACCTCTGGTCTAAACAGCAGACATTCCCCAAGTATTTGATTTCTCCTCTGTGGACTGTCAGGCCTCTCTCCTTTGAGTGGCTAAAAATCTGAGGAGAAGGAGGAGAGTGAGGAGCAGGAGCAGGAGGAGGAAGAGGAGGAGGAGGAAGAGGAGCAGGAGGCCTGGTAGGAGCTGATGCCTTCAGCACAGTCACCCACACGCAGTATATCTGGAAGACTTCATCACTAAGACGGAATCCTGGGTCCACGTGAACTCTCTGCAGGACATCCTCTATAACCGACCAACACCTCTGGCAAACAGACATCTGGCTGAGAGCACATCTGCGTGTGTGAGCCAGGAAAGGCTGTGTCTTTAAATCAGCCAGACTGGGACGCTCTTATGTCAGGGTCCAGAAAGGGTGAAAGTTGGAGTTCACCTACAGTACGGGTGGAGGTCGGCCGAAAGGCCACCTTGGGCAGGGCAAGGCAGAGAATGTTATATTTATTCTTTCCATTCCGCTTAGGTAAATATTGCATAATAAAAGATACTCAGACTGTTAAGTGGTGAAATGAAGTGGGTTCCTAGGGTCCCTCCTAAAGTGGCCAAACACTATTGGTGGACACTGGAGCCAATCGGAGACCTGAGATCTGTCCAGACTCCCTGACTCTCAGGGAGGCGTGAGATGTAACACACCTGGCCTTCAAGTAGTGTGGAGCAGGCTAGCTCCTGCCACAGGCCCCTAGGCCACTAGAACTGACAGTGGCTGAGCATTCTTGGGCCACATATTCCGATGGACTGTCTTGTGAAGCAGGGTTCAGTCTTGTTCTACTTGGCCCCAGAGGGCAGAGCCAGGAGCAATAAGGTAGGGTGGGAGAGCTCTGAAAAGAGGCCTGTTTAAGGCTGACTTCAGAAAAACCTGGAAGGACCTGTATGGTCTGGTGCTGAGTGAAGAGAGCAGAACCAGGAGAACATTGTACACAATAACAGCCATGTTGTGAGATGACTAATATTGATAAACTTGACCCTTCCCAGCAATACAAGCATCTAAGACATCTCCAAAATCTTGTGATAGAAAATGCTCTCCACATCCAAAGAAAGAACTATGGAATTTGAATGCAGATAGAAGCATACTATTTTTTTTTCTTCTGTTGTATTTTGTTTCCTCTTTCTGGTGGTTCCTCCTATTGGTTCTAATTCTTACTTACAACATCTCTAATGTGAAAATATGTTTAATAGGAATGTATATGCATAGCCTGTATCAGATTGGGCGCCATCTTGGGGAGGGTGGTTGGGAGGAAGGGGGAGAAAAATTTTAAACTCCAAAGCATATGGAAGTGATTGTTGACAAATCAAAATAAATTAATAAAAAATTAACAGAAGTTCAGTGATTTCCTGAGTTTATATTGTATCCCCCTCCCATACTGGGAGATCCATGATGTCAGAGGCCCCATTGTACCACCCTCAGAATCTGGCACAATGCTCTGTGAATAGAAAACACTTAACAAATGATTTTTGAATGAATTAAGGGTGGATGGATAGATGGAAAGATGAATGGATGGGAGGATGGATGGAAGAACGTAATAAATATGCTAACCTACCCTCCCCCCTTGTCAAAGCCTGCACACAGCAGACACTTAATAAATGCTTGTTGCTTGATGCATAAACCCACTCTAGTCGACAATTCTTCTAAGGGGCACACCAGAGGTCCTAAGACCTCAACTCAAAACCAAAGGCTCTAATTTCGGGAGAAGAATTAATCTGTAAATGAGTCTGTACCAGACAAGCTGAATCCAGACTGGTGCAGGTTCCGGACAGGCGGGGCCTGCTGTTTGGCAGGAGAAGTCTTGGCGGAGGAGGCCGGAGTCACTGTCTTGGGTGTCACGGACACTTCACACACCGGCCCATCGTAGAGGCCTCGGGGAACACCCCTCAGCTCTGCCAACTGCGAAGACAAGAGCCAGTTAGCGGGGGCTGAAAAGCGAGTGTCTTCTGGGAAAAAGGAGCCGGAACCGGTCATCCTGGCCCTCTCCCGATGAGGATGAAAGGCCACATCTAATCGGCAGACCTGACAACAAGCCGGAGGGCTAGGTATTCTGAAGGAGGACGTTGTTGAAGAAACAAGAGTAGGTACAGGATCATCCAGCAGGTGGCAGGCTTTCACCGCCATGTTCCTCACCCCAGTCTTAGAAATCTTGGGGTGTGGAAAAACACGATTTGTGAGTATTAAAAGGAGATTAAGCCCTTTAAGATTTCTTGTTAGGTGCACTTCACCTCTAAACTCATGTATCTTCTAGGGGATCCTCTATCCCTAGCAATGGTCAAGAAGACAACAGACAACAAGGTCTCTCATTCTTGACAGAGAGGTCCCCACTGGGCAAGTCACTTAACTTCTATTAGACTGTAAGCTCCTTGAGGACAGGGATGGTCTTTTGACTCTTCTTGTATCGCCAGTGCTCAGCACAGTGCCTAGCACATTGCAGGCGCTAAATAAATATTGGTTGATCTCTGAGCGTTGTCCCTATTTTTATTTTAAATTTGTTTAATTTTAATCTATTTTTAAATGGGGGAGGGGGATGACCTGAGGGTCTTCCTAGCTCCATATCTATGCCCCTGAGTGGAGCAAAGGGATTCCTCTGTGGGGCACATTCTCCTCCCCTCTGGGAATCATAATATTTAGCAAGGCAGAAGATCTGGGGAAGTCTTAGAAAGCCACTCAGTCTTTCAAATTCTACTGGCAACCGATAGCTATTGATTGAGAAGCCCCAGGTTAGATACCCTTCTACCTAAAGGCAGCACAGAGCTGGGCCAGAAGACTTCCCAAGTCTCTGCCAGACTCAGGGCCCTATCAGGGATACGGACTGGCCCTTGGCTTTCATTGGTGGGAACTCCAAGTGTGGAAACTCCCTCTACCAAAAGCAGGGCACCTCCTACTCCACAGCTGCTGGAGGCCAACCTCTGCTCCTTGTAATGTCTTAGCACTTGGGCACCAGTTTTAAGACTATAAATCTAAAGCTGAAACATACCTTTGAGACTTTCTAGTTTCCAACTCTCTCATTTTACATATGGGGGAAACAGAGGTGAGGGAGTCAAAACGATTTGCCCAAGATCAGTCAGAGGGATAACCATACCTGGAACACCCACCTCACAATGTGATGCCCCAAGGAGATTGTATCCAGAGGCAGACTTGAACCCAGGTCTTCCTTACTTGAGACCAAAGTTCTATCCATCATGGCACACTATTTATCCCAGAACACTCCAACCCTACCACCACCACCACTACCATCACCATCATCCCCCTCAAGGCCAGAAGAGCCTCTGAAAAGTTATCTAGGGGCAGCTAGCTGGGCACAGTGGATAGAGCACTGGTCCTGGTTCAGGAGGACCTGAGTTCAAATCCAGCTTCAGACACTTACTAGCTGTGTGACCCTGGGCAAGTCACTTAACCCCAATTGCCTCAAAAAAAAAGTTATCTAGTTCTTTCCCCAGCCTCCGGGACTCTAAAGTACTGAGCTGATCAACTTAAGGAATGTCTCTCCTCTCTGCTGGCATGCACCAAAGCTGGGCCTTTCTCAGTAAAGCACAGAATGCCCTTGCAGAATGCAGAGGTGGGGAGCATCTTCCCAGACAGAACAAAGGAAGCTGGGAGATGGCCCCCACTACCTCAAAGGATACCATATGAGGATTCCACGGGAAGGCAGAGCTGTTCTGGGGTAGGAGTAGGGGAGGTAGGTGGGAAAGACCCCTCAGCAGCAGGCTCCCTTCAGGGAGGCACCGGAAGGCTGACCCCCACCCAAAGCTTCTGAAGGAGGCTCTGCCCCAGGAGCTGAGCAGCCACCTTTCCTGGGGTCTTGTTGGTTAATGGGGGCTCACAAAAGACACAGGATCAATGCCAATACCCGGACCAGGAAAAGAACTGAGTCAGCCGGGTAGGGAGACTAAGAGAGAGAAGCAGTGTGGTATGGTAGAAAGAGCACGGAGTCAAGAGGACCTGGGTTCAAATCCCACCTGTGACCCTTCCTACCTGCTGGGCCCTTCCCTGAACCTCAGTTTCCTCCTCCATAAAAAGAAGGAAATGGGCCAGAGCTGGGGCTCGTAACCTTTTTTGTGTCCTGGACCCATCTGACAGTCTGGTATAGCCCAGAGATGGCCCCCTTCTCAGAAGAACATTTTTAAATAATTAAGGGAAATGTTCAATTTCAGTTGTCATGAACACAGAGACATGACTGCTTTTGCATCTGAGTTCACAGACTCCCTGAAATCTGAGGAGCCACATTCAGAACCCCTGGACTAGGTGGTCTCAGGGTCCCTTCCAGCACTAGCTTTGGGGACCTCTAGGGGACTTGGAGTACCTCTCTTTGGCCTTTATTTCTTCCTCTGTAAAATAAGGGAGATGGACCAGTGAGTATCTTAGGAACCTTCTGGTATCCTAGCTACAGTCACCTGTATGTGGCCTAGAGAAACTCCCTTCACCTCTCTGGGGCTCAGCTTCCTCAAACGTAACATGAGGGGGTTGGACTGGATGGTCCCTGAAGTCCCTGAGAGATCTAGGATCCCAGGACCCCCCCCCAGATGGGCAGCCCAAGCAAGATGTTAAAAAAGTGAAGTCAGGATGGCCTCCAGCACTCTGTTTGGTAGGTCTGCAAAAGGACACAGACAAAAGGTGAAGGGAGTGTCTACCACAAGGCAAACACAATTCTGTATCATAGGCTCTCCTATCTGCCTCAATCCGGGCCTAGAGTCAGGAAAACCTGAGCTCAAATCCCCCCCAGACACTTTCCAGCTGTGTGACCCTAGGCAAGTCACTTAACTTCTGTCTGCCTCAGTTTCTTCAATTGTAAACTTGTAATTATAAACAATACCAAATGTGATATTTGTAAAGCATTTGGCTGACACGTAGGTGATTAATAAATGCTTATCTCCTTCCTGTCCCTTCTCTGTAACCCTCCAAATCTGGATACTCAGAAGACTCCACATTAGAAACTTCCCAATTCTTAACTGACTAGTGTCTCCCTGCCCGGGATCTCAGAAGTGAGAGCCAAGCAGCTCCACCTCAACCCAGTCTCCCCCCGCAACATAAAAAACACCTGAGTGGGGTCTACAGAGCAGCCCGGAACCTGCCTCTGCCCCTAGAACTGTTCCAGGTGCCCTGACGGACCCAGGAGTCCTGGACTGCGGGGGGCTCTCTGCCCTGCGCTGCAGCCCCTCACATCCAAGGCTCCCTGGGGACATGCACAGGACCAGAGAATCATCAAAGTGAAGCTAGAAGGGACCCCAGAGGTTAGCTAGTCCAGAGCTGCCTAAGTTTTTTCACTCGCAGTCCCTTCAGCGCTTCTTGAACTGTGGGTCACAACCTCATAAGGTTTAAGAAGGGTTGATCGTTTATCCCTCATCATACAGAAGAGGAAAATAAGGGAGATTAAGGGATGTATCCAGGTCACAGATAAGAGCATAACTCTAATCCTGGAAGGGGCCTTAAGAGACCATCCTGGTGAATTCCCTCATTATACAGATGAGGAAACTGAGGCCAGAGAAGGGAAGAGACTTGGCCGGGGCTCCGCAGCTATTAAATGGCAGAGGCAGAATTCAAACCCAAGTCCCTAACTCCAGAAACTCTTTCTGTTCCATGCTGCCTCCCATTCCTGGGTATATCCTTCCTTGCCCCTTCCCGATCCTTCTTTGGAGGCATCAGTCATGGTTCCAGAAGGAGAGGTGCGTTGGACAGCCCAGGACGCTTCCCTCATCCCCACCTCCTGTGCTGGATGTCCCCAGGGACATCCTTAGGGACCTCCTCTTAAACACATACAAGGACTCAGGGCTTCCTCGAAGCCAAGAAAGATCCTTTGGCCCCAGTGGTAGACTTTACACCAACCTTGTTGCACTGAACAAGCCAAATGATGAACATGATATTCGGGGCTGGGCCCATTCTGCCCCGATCTGAATGGGTGCAGACAAGAGTCACTCTGTGCTAGGGTCCTGGAATCTTTCAGTTGGAAAAATCCCCCTGTGTAGCCCCAGGTACTCACCCGACTCCGGGCCTTGATGCGCTTGTAAACGAAATCGGGGAAAGGTTTGCGGGGGATGTAGCGGCCCGATCCTTCAGTCACGTGGAGGTTGCCGTCCTCCAAGACGATCTTCCCCTGACTGATCACCACCAGTGGCGAGCCTCGGCACTCCATGCCCTCGAAGATGTTGTATTCCAGAGACTGGGGGAAGAGAACACGCAGAACGTCAGAACAGAATTCGAAGCGGCAAAGCCTTTCAGAGGGTTAGGAAAGCAACCTGACACCACATTCTGCATTCCACTTACACCATCATGCAGCTGCCCAAAGGGTCAATGAAGAGAATCAGGAGATCCTGGTTCCAGCCCCAGCTTGACTGATATACAATTGTATATAGACCACTATACCTCTCTGATGCCTCAGTTTCCCCAGCGGTAAATTTAGGAAAATGTCTACCCTACAGCATCACAGCTAGAGCTAAATAGGCCTTGGAACATTCAGTCCAAGTATTTCCTTTTAGACAAGAGGGGAGTCCGGTCTGAGAGAGGCAATGTGACAGATTCAAACTTGGGATCTGAGATCCCAGTTCCAATATGTATCTATCTGTATACAGCAGGTGCTACACAAATGCTTGCCAGAGTTATTCTTTCCATCCATCATGCTCTGCTGCCTTAGAACCCATACTCTTTGCTTCATGTATTGGTGAACAGAACGCCCTCACTCATTCATTCATCAGAGACTTATTAAGAACCTAATAATACGGACCAGTCACTGTGCTGGGTGCTGGGGATACAAAGACGGACGTGAAATAGTCCCTGCCCTCATGGTGCTTACATTCTATTGGGGGGAGACAAGATGTACACGTGTAAGTTCATACAAATTCAAGACATTTTTGGACATCCAACATGGGGATTTGACTTGCTTGACCGTGCATACTTTTTACAAGGGCTCTTTTTTCTCGTTTTTCTTTTAAGTGAAGGAAGGAGGAGGGGAGGGAGAGATAGTAAATCCTTGTTAAACGAAAAATAAAATTGAAAAACCAAATTCACTACAAAGAAATTCAGGGAAGGGGAGGAGGTGCAAACACGTCTGCAAAGGTGAGTTGTAGCCAGGCCTAACAGAAGACTCTGCAATTTACCCCAGAGGTGACAGACAGCCCCTCTGGAGCTTCTGGAGTAGAGGAGGGTTATGGTCAGGGATTCTGAGACACCACTTTAGCACCTTCGTGGAGGATCATTCAGAAGGACAGAGCCTGGAGGCAATGAGACAAATTAGAAGGCGATTATTACTAGAGTCCAGGTGAAAGGTGATGAGGGAACAGAGCTGTCAGGAGTGGAGTGAAGAGGAGATAGATTCGAAAGTCACTGTGGAAGTGGAATCTATGAGACTCAGTGAGTGATTGGGCATACGGGGTGAGAAGGAAAAGCAGGGAGTCGAGGGTTGCAAACCTGGGCGACCAGCAAGATGATGGTGTTCATGATAGAAACAGGAATGTCAGGAGGAGAGGGGGGCTTTGGGGAAAGATCAGGAGCTCCGGCCTTGCCTGTTCCCCATGTGCTCGTTAGAACGGTGGTTAAGCCGAAAAAAAAAGCAAAGCCCCAAATGAAACGATTGTGGCGGCTTAAGAGAAACGCCTTCACTCAAATGTCTGAGGTTGGTGAGAGCCAAGAAAAACAGAACATGGCCCTGTGGCTTTGAGCTTGCCCTGGGCAAACAGTACCACATCTGCCCAAGTTCTTGGGAAACACTCCTGGCTCTGAGCTTGGCGATGTTGCAGGGGGGTTGGGGGAGGAGAAGGAAAAGTTTTCTGGGACACTGAAATATCCACATGGTGGAGACCAACATGACCCTACCCAGGGTCACCAGCCAGAGCTCGGCAACAACAGTTATCCTAGCAACACGTTCTGGTCTGGCTGCCTCACTCTCCATCTCCTCCTCCACAGGCCATCCCTCCATCCAAACCCTTCCTTCTCACCTCTGTTGCTTAGAATCCTTAACTTCCCTTAAAGCTCAGCTCTGGGGCCTTGACATAGCTGGTGGTGGAGTAGATAGAGTGTTGGGCCTGGAGTCAGGAAGACCTGGGTTCAAATTCAGCCTCACATACCCACTAGCTATGTGACTCTGGTGCACGTCAACCTCTGCCTCAGTTTCCTCAACTGTAAAACGGGGCTAACAATAGCACCTACCTCGCAGGATTGTTGTAAGGATTACATGAGATAAAGTTTATTATGCAATAAAGTGTTTAACACAGTGCTTCACATACAGCAGGTGCTATATAAATGCTTATTTTCTTCCCTCTCTTGATTCCCTTAATTTTAGTGCCTTCACTCCATTGCTTATCTCCAGGTTGTCCTGTATATATCTTGTTCGTACGTGGTTGTCTGTATGCTGTCTCCTCCATTGTTCCCTGAGAGCAGGAAATGTCATTTCCCCTTCTTTGAACCCCCCATGTATTGTTCTAAATAGGCGCTTACTAAATGTTGACTGACTGACTGGTGCCATCTACTCCATGAAGTCTTTCCTAATCCCCCAGTAATTAATTATTCTCTTGCTCCTCAATTTATCTTGAATTTAGTCAACTGTTAATGTTTGCAAAATCCCAAGCCCTCTGCCTCCTCCAGTAGAACGTAACCTCCTGGAGGGCAAGGGCTATCTAATTTTCATCTTTGTATCCCTCACCTAGTGCAATGCCCAACCCTGCGGCTCACAGGGGCTCGATAAATGTTGGCTGAATGGAAATGAATGGCCCTGCTCCCAGGATTGCACCAAGGATGCAGATGCTTAGGCAGACAGCTCCAATTTTGCAAACCAGCTGGGGTTTCAGTTGAACCCGGAAAACTATACATTCCAGTAAAATTACTGCAACCATGCAAATTAGCACAAGCCCCAAAGGCCACGAGCCTGAAAAACATGACACTGTGGCCAAGGAGGAATGAGAGAAAAGACGAAAATCTCTTCTCTCAGATGTGGCGGATCAACATTGTGGGCTGTGGGCTGATAAGGGCGGGGATGTTGGCAGCTGGAAAGAGAGTATCAGGCAACAGGATTATTTAGATTTATCTACAGGCTGGATTATAACAACAGGGGATCTAAGTGACTTACTGGACCACTCTCCCAGGAGAACCTTCATTTTACTATTTAGCCAGGTGACAGGGATTGTGGGGGCACACACCTTGAAGAACTTCAGCCTCATAGGAAGAAGTAAGGGGATGTAGAAACAAGATTCTTCCCTTCTCCAGGCTAAAAATCCCCACTTTCTTCACACAGCCTGGACCCAAGACCCTTGATCAGCCTGGTCGCCCTCCTCTGGACACTCTCCAGATTATCAAAGCCCTCCTAAAAACTGGGGTGCCCACCCATAACTGAGCACGGGACTCTAGCTCTTGTCTGAGCAGGGCAGAGGCCAAAGGAACAATCAGCCCTAGTCCTGGGTACAATGAGTCTCTTAAGACGACCTTAGATCCCACTTCCCAGCTTTCTGCCGGCCATATTTCCTGGCTGGCTCATACTGAGCCGGTGGCCACCAGGCCCCAGTCCCATCCCCCTTCCCTGCCACAAAAGCTCAGACCCGAGCCCTACTCCAAAGGGCAGCCCCTATTTACTGCCCTCTCTTGTCATCATGTGCTAAGCCCTTACCCCTCCACTTCACCATGAAAGGTAAATAATGAATACTGACTAATATAATGTTTTATTATATTATATAATATTATATAACATTATATTGTATTGTGTTATATTACATTATATATATTATATTATATTATATTATATTATATTATATTATATTATATTATATTATATTATATTATATTATATTATATTATATTATATTATATTATATTATATTATATTGTAATTTATAATGGGTAAACTGAGAGACGAGAGTGCTCTAGTTAACCAAGGTCCCTAAATGAGTAACACACAGGAATCAGGAGTAGAATCCAAGCTTGTCTAATCCTGTGATCAACAGGGACCTCAGATCACACAGCCAACCAATTTGTTTATTAGAGGAGAAAGAAGACTGAGGCCCAGAAAAGGGAAGGAATTTGTCCAAGGTCAGCTCTCACTCTCTCCTGCTGTTGTGGCCCTGGGGGCCCAAAGGAAATTGGCCATTTACCCATATTAGCTTTACTGGAGTGTCCATGTGCGCCCACTGATGGCCCTCACTCCCAGCCCATCTCAATTTTGTTGGTTACAGAGAGAATGCCATTTACTGGTAGGAGCCTCCCACAAAGAAACACAGGTAATCATCACCCTTTCTTCCAATTATGACCTCCTGGGGCAGCTAGGTGGCACAGTGCAGACAGCACCAGCCCTGAAGTCAGGAGGACTTGAGTTCAAATCCAGCCTCAGACAAAACACTTGACACTTACTAGCTGTGTGACCCTGGGCAAGTCATTTAACCCCAATTGCCAAAAAAAAAAAACAATTATGACCTCCTATTAGTGTTGGGAAAGGCTTAGGACTAAAAGCCATTGGGCATATGGGGCTATAGTGAAGAAATGACCTCTTCTCCTTTGAATGCACAGAATAATAATAGCATTGATATAATGCTTTAAGGTTTGTAAAACACAGTATATATATATATATATAATATATATATATATATATATATATAAAATCTCATTTGAACCTCAACACCACCCTATGAGGTAGGTGCTATTACTCTACCCAATTTACAGATTAGGAAACTGAGTTGCTCAGGGTGACGCTGCTACTACATGTCTGAGGGAGGATATGAATTCACATGTACTTGAGTCCAAGCCCAGAGCACAATCCACTGCATCACCCACCGTGCCCTCCTGGAAGGTAGCAGTCGCCTGGGTCCCAAGGTCCTTATTGTCTTTGTCTCCTACCCCTCTCATTCCTGGTGCCCAGAGAGCAGCCAAGCAGGTGCGCTTCTCCTCACCGCGACCTTCACCCCCAAGCCCTCTCCGACCAGCCAGGCAGCGAACACTTTTTAACAAGATGCTTGCTTGCCAACAGGCAGTTCTCAGACAAACAGCTGAACTGTTGCCTCCACGGCTCCTTGAAAACCCCACTGCCTAAGTGACTGAGATCCTAAATCTGTTTGAAAACCAGTCCTCCTATTCAGCATAGCCCCATATCCCCAAGAGGAGTCAGAGCCTAATCCTAGCCCAAGACTGGAACCCTGCGTGCCACCAGCAGGAGCTCTGGCTCACCCCCTCATATTACACATCATT